ACTCTTTTTTTTTTTTTTTTTTTTTTTGGTTTGGTTTGGTTTGGTTTGGTTTGGTTTTTCGAGACAGGGTTTCTCTGTGTAGCCCTTTCTGTCCTGGAACTCACTCTGTAGACCAGGCTGGCCTCGAACTCAGAAATCCGCCTTCCTCTGCCTCCCAAGTGCTGGGATTAAAGGCGTGCGCCACCACTGCCCGGCTTCTTCTTCTTCTTCTTCTTCTTCTTCTTCTTCTTCTTCTTCTTCTTCTTCTTCTTCTTCTTTAAGAATTATTTATTTTGGCTGGGAGGTGGTGGCGCACGTCTTAATCCAAGCACTTGTGAGGCAGAGGCAGGCGGATTTCTGAGTTCGAGAGTTCGAGGCTAGCCTAGTCTACAGAGTGAGTTCCAGGACAGCCAGGGCTACAGAGAAACCCTGTCTCGAAAAAAAAAAAAAGAATTATTTATTTTATTTGCATGAGTATACTGTAGCTGTGTTCATACACACCAGAAGAGGGGATCAGATCCCATTACAGATGGTTGTGAGCCACCCTATGGTCACTGGGAATTGAACTCAGGACCTCTGGAAGAACAGTTCATGCTCTTCACCACTGAGCCATCTCTCCAGCCCAAGCAACTCTTTAATTCATCCACAGGTCTTAGGTTTCTGGGTGACAAATCTAGAGTGTCATTCTGTCCTAGGAGTCGTGATTGAGTCCTGCAGTTTCTGCGTGTCTACCTCTCAAATCCCAGGGCGTCAGCTGCTTAGGATTTCACTTTCGTCCATCTATTTCCTCCTAACCTAGGGATGCCCACCATCAACCATCTTAGGTAACATTCCCTAGATGCAGGGTCATCAGTGAGCTTTGTTACTTACTGGAAGAATGCTCTCTGGAGAATGGGGGAGGGAAGCAGGAAAACTCAGCGTTAAGCAGGGCATAATCTCTTCAGGGACCTGCTTCAGTTCCGATCCGACTCAGGTAGAGCTTTGCAGCTGGTCGCAGTTTTTGCTGCTCTGAGTCAGTCGTTGGTTATGTGCTGCCTGGGGTGAGGGCCAACCAGGGAGGGGGTTGGAGAAGGATGTGAATAGTCAGAGCAGCTGGGAGCAAATGTATCCAGTTAAGGGGATCAAAACGGAACGTCAGCAGTGGCCACATTTAACCCCAGTAATGCCCCAAATCTTGCATAACTCCACATTATCTAGGCCATCTCCCCCTACCCCACCCCGCTTCTCTTTTGAAACAAGGTCTTCCTATGTATATAGCTAACGCTGACCTTGAACTCATGATCTTTCATGCCCAGTCTCTGAGTGCTAGGGTCAAATAGGCAAGCATCATCCTGCCTGGCTTCACCCACTCCCTTTCTTTTCTGAGACATCTCCAGTTACTCTTCCTCCTCCTTTCTCCATTTCACTCATACTGGCCATCTCAACATTCTGGAACTTTCCAGCATGTACTGGCTGCAGATGAATTGTGCTTTTCTGCTCTCTCATCTGACTCTCCGCCTCATCTGATTCATCTCTCCATTCCCCTCTACGGAGTCACCAGTCTTTATTAAAAGGCACCTTCGTAAAAAGGTAGGTTTGTTCTGGTTGGGTATGGTGGCACACATCTATGAATCTCGGACTTGGACTGAGTCACTGAGGCAGGAGGATTTGAAGTTTAATGGTAGCTTTGGGGGTACATAGTGAGTTTGTGGCAAGGATTATCATAAAATGAAATGAAATAAAATAAAATAAACCTGCTTTAAATGTCATATCTAAAATGACAATTTTACTCCCAATCAATACTTACAAATTCTACCTAGTCCCTATATATAATTTTCTTCGTTTTATTATCTAATTCCACTCAAAAATATATACGGAGGATTACTTAAAACAGTGGCTGGTAGGCTGAAAGGCACTCTGCGAATGTTTGTTGCATGCGATGCACACGTGCATGAATGATTCCTGGCAGAAAGCCGGAGACCTCAGTAAACACTGACCTAAACCAGAAAAGCATGGCATCCTCCCTTACATAACAAGCTAGGGAAAGGGCAGAGCTCTCCGGAGCCCTATTTTTCCCTCAGTACTAAGCTTGTTTTATTTTTCCTTCAAAACAAAGCTTGTTTTCTTCATGTGAAGATGTATGTATGTATCTTACTGTACACACAATACACTGTATTTCCACATGTACATAGTAAGAATAGAACCCCTGGGCTGGGTGTGACCGTGGCTCAGATCTAGAAGTCCAGCACGGAGCAAGGCTGCCAGCCCAGGCTAGGGAGTGAGCTCCATAGGGCATCCTTATCCAGATCACAAGCTCCCCTCCCCCAAAGAGAAAGACTAGAAACATTTAGGATTTTCTAATTTTATTTAAATGAGTTCACATCAAACCCAATAAGCTAGTCTTACATATAATAAAGTAAGAGAAAAGGCAAAGCAAAATCAAAGTGACACAGGTTGTTAACAACGATTTCTAAAATGTAAAACTTAAATCCAAACTTAACATTAGTTAAGGTCTTAACAGCCTGATTTTAGAGGGTAGAAAACTATTAAGACATGTAAAATACCAAACCCCAATCAAATAGCTATTAGTAAAGACAAATTATTTAAGGTATATTAAAATATTCTAGAAAGAAGAGCTAAGGTTACTAAAAATACAAAAGCAACTATAGAATTTTGCAGATCAGCCTTGGGGTGATGCTGCTTCCGCTGTGACCTCGGTTTCTTCTTGTGACTCAGGCTGGGCAGACGGTTCAGAGCCTAAGGGAGAGCTTTCTTCTTCTAGTTCGGCACTCTCCTCGGAGATCGAGCTCCGGTCTTCAGTAGTGGTACCTTCAGCCTCCTTACTGGTATCAGCCCCCTCCTTGCTGGTATCAGCCCCCTCCTTGCTGGTATCAGCCCCTTCATTGCAAACATCAGCCTGATCTGGCGCTGCACTCTCCACCTCCGGAGTGGATTCAGGGACACCCTCGGTGGTCTCCACCAGGGAAATGTCGGCGATCTTCAGCTCAGGCTCTGAGCCCGATACAGATGTCTCCACCAAAGCCACTTCGGCAGGGACCTCAGAGGCGGAGGCCTGAGACTCTTCTGGAGGCACAGCTGCAGCCTCTGGGACTTCCTCGGCATCTACCGATTCAGCTTCCTTTACAGAAATTTCTCCAGTCTCTGAACATGCTTTCTCGGCTTCTGCCACATGCTCCTTTTCACCTTTAAGATTTGGTTCATTAAGCAAACTGTTAATTGGGAGAGCATGGGAGTAAAGTAGAATACTACAATTTATTTTGTTTTGGGGGAAGGGAAACATTTTTTGAGACAACACTTGCTACAGACTAGATTAGCCATGAATCTGCTA